GGTGAGCGAGCGGCTGTTTGAGCAGCAGGCTGGGGCCCCGTCCCCGCACTGACGCTGTTGTGCCCCCCTTGCAGCTCAGTCCTCGCTCATGGCCTCTCCGCAGACCGAGGAGTTCTTCGATCTCATCGCCAGCTCCCAGAGCCGGCGCCTGGATGACCAGCGGGCCAGCGTGGGCAGCCTGCCCGGCCTCCACATCACTCACAACAACCTCGGGCACCTGCGCAGGGAGGGGGATGCCCAGGAGCCAGGGGACGAGTTCTTCAACATGCTGATGAAGTGCCAGGTAAGCAGCTTGCTCGCTGCACCGCCCCCGGGGGCCAAAGCCCGCTGCTCCTGGGGCCGCACCTGGGTGTCCTTGTAGCCTAGAAGGCTAATGGCATATTGGGGGCATTAGGAGGAGCGTTGCCGGCAGATCCAGAGAAGTGATTATTCCCCTTTATTCGGCGCTGGGGAGGCCACATCTGGAGTAGTGCGGCCCCCCCACGTGGACGCATTGGAGAGAGGCCAGTGGAGGGCAACAAAAATGATGAAGGGGCTGGCGCTTGTGGCTTACGTTAGAGAAGGAACAGGCGCCCCGGGAGCGGATGGGGTAGACGGATCTGCCTGTTGCCCGCGCACGTTAACCTCGGGCCCCCGACACGGCGTTCCAAGCAGCTCGCCCCGACCACGCCTGGGCTGTCTGATTGTTCTCTCCGCTTCCAGGGCCAGGGGGGTTGGAGAGCAGCCTGCAACTCCCTGCAGGGAGGTTCCAAAGAGGCTGGAGCGAGGCAGCTCTCAGGGGTGGCAGACTGAGGAGCAAGGGTCCCAAGTTGCAGGGGGGGAGGTCTAGGTTGGAGATTAGGAGAAACGATTTCCCTAGGCGGGTGGGGACGGGTTCCCTAGGGAGGGGGGGCATCTCCATCCCTAGGGGTGTTGAAGTCCCGGCCTGACAAAGCCCCGGCTGGGCTGATTGAATTGGGGTTGGTCCTGCCTTGGGCGGGGGCTGGACTCTGGCTCCTGAGGTCTCTGCCCGCCCTGGCGTTCTATGATCCATGCCAGCTCACTCCAAAGCCTTTTGCCATGACAAGCCCCTCCCCGCCCTGATGGCCTTGGGCCCAGGGTGGGAGTCTCGCCGGCTCCTTGTGGCTCCGCAGGGAGCTCGCTGTGCCCCCCGCAGGCTAACGCCAGCCCCGGAGGCACCCCCGTTTCTAACGCCCGTTTCTCCTCTCCCCTGGGCCGGGCCAGTCGTCCCGGATCGACGACCAGCGCTGCGCCCCGCCGGACGCCGTCCCCCGCGGCCCCACCCTCCCTCA